TTTACCCTTTCTGCTTGTGTTCTGCTACCAAAATTTCCTCTTCCATTTGTCTCTACCTTCTGTCCTTTAGAGGGAGTTTAGCGGCAGCCGTAACGGCCTTTGGAAATAGCTGCGGAGCCCCTCTCTCTCTCTCTCTTTTTCTCCATGCGATTGCACCATGCCAGGAAGATCAGCAGACAGCTTTCTCTCCGAGTTGGAGAATGACGCCGTCATTATGGAGCTGGCCAGGGATGTCTCCAGAGCCAGCATGACCTTTAGGCTTGCTATGGCTACCGGCAACCACCCCAAATTGAGTGGGGAGAAGAGAGGGAAGAAGTGGCAGTGTCCAGAAGACCTCACCGAAGACTCCCATCCCTGCTCATCAGCCAGTGGCGGTGGCCATCTTGGATCCTCAATTTTGGCGGGAAACGCTCTCACGCTTACACAAGCTGCGCGGCTCGAGTCCCAGCTCCCAGATGCCAATCTCCCGGTGGGAGATTCAGGCAGGTCTTCTTCGCTGAATCGACCAGTGGCAAAGGACTTTGGAAGGCACCTGTTTGGTAATGTACCCCCATCAGACTGGGATCCTGCCCCTCGAGAATTTTTTGAGTCCATGAGACGGACAATGAGGGAGGAATGTCTAAATCTCTGCCACCTGGGGGATCTGGGGTCCATTGCTTCCCGCGCAAACTCCCCGGTTCCAACACATAGAATACCCTAGACATAGGGAAGTTGGGGGAAGTTGGCCTACTAAAGCTGCTAGAAAGCAGGCCCCGAGAGACAGTCATTCAGACTCAGAAAAGGAGCCTGACCTGGCTCACAGAGAGGAAGGTGAGTTCCTGTCTGATGAAGAGGTGGAGAAAATCAGCGTCCCACAACAGTCCGCAAGACTTTTTAAGGCAGAGGACTTCCAATATCTACTTTCTAAGTCCCTGTCAGTCCTAGATCTTCATGACTCTCCACCTGAGGAGGAAATGGTTAGTCCAGGTATAAATCCCAGAAATAGGTCTAAGGGGGCGGAGGAGCACTTTCCCAGATATGCTACCTCTGAAAAAGTATTTCCCTTTCCAGAGTTTTTTTGAAAGACAATTAATGGGCTAAGCCCACTTACCTCCTTCTGCCAATGAGATGTTACAGGTTCCATTGGTGGATGCCCTGGTGACAGCACTCCAGTCCTTTGGTTGGACTAAGCCCACCTCTAACAGACAGGCCCCCCGTTTTGTTAAAAAAGCTGTATGATTTACCTCCTTTTGCCAATGAGATGTTACAGGTTCCACTGGTGGACGCCCTGGTGACAGCACTCCAGTCCTTTGGTCTTCTCTCTGAGGACAGCCATGGTTCAGTCTGAGACAACCTGGACAAGAAAATAGACATTGCCCTGAAAAGTACATGAAGCCACAGCAATGGCCATCAAGGCCTCCGCTACAGTCTCAAGCGTCACCAGTGCCATCATAGTCTGGTCTAGAAAAATCATTCAATTGCTTCCAGAGAACAATAGTAGATTACTGGAGGGAGCAACGAGAATATTAAAGGCATCATCGTTCGCAACAGATGCAGCTCTGGATGCTCTTACCTTTTCCTCCAGGGCCATGTCCTTGGCAGTGGTGGCAAGAAGGGGGACATGCTTTCCAAGGGGAGAAGCTGTTTGGTGACCGTCTAGAAAGGATCCTAGTGGAAACCAGAGACAAAAAGAAGGCCATGCCCAGGAATGTACGACATCTGGATAGGAGAAGCTCTGTCAGTTATTCCTTTTGTTCTTCCAACATGTCTTTTCGGTCTAAACCGGACCAGAAAAGAAGTTCTCGGAACTCCTCAAGGCAACCTTATAAAAGGGCTTTCACTGGTCCCCACTTTGGGAGACAGACTACCAACAGGTCCGAGAAACCAGGAAGTGACAACAAAATTACTAAAGCATGACTCAGAAAGGATTCCGGTGGGGGTAGACTACTTCACTTCAAACTAGCGTGGCTAGAGTCCCAAGCAGACTCTTGGACTTTAGAAGTAATTTCCAGAGGCTACTCAGTAGAATTTCTGAGGACTCTCCCAGACCGGTTAATAATTTCCCCACTTCGCAAGGATCACAGGAAACGAGCCATAACGTTTGCAGCAATGTGCCATCTTCTAGATATCCGGGCTGTGGAACTGGTACCAGATGATCAAAAGGGCCAGGGGGTCTTCCATATTCTTCACAGTGCCCAAGAAAAATGGCGATTGGAGAGCCATCCTAGATCTGAAATTTGTGAACAAGTTCATCAAATTGAGGCACTTCCACATGGAGACCCTCAAGTCCATCACCGACATACTACAACCAGGAGAATTCCTGGCCTCCTTAGACCTCACAGAAGGTACCAGAGATTCTGCGTGGGGGAACAATACATGCAATTCAGAGTGATGCCCTTCGGTCTGGCGACCGCCTCGAACATCTTCACCAAGGTGTTAGTCAACCCCATAGCACACCTGAGGAAGAGGGGCATTCATGTCCATCTGTAGCTCGACGATCTACTCATTCGGTCTGCTTCCAAGGAGGAAGCTCTTCAGGACATCTAGGAGACAATTCATTGTCTTCAGTCACTCGATTTCCAAATCAACCTGGCCAAGAATTCATTCTCGCCATCTCAGAGGATAGAGCATCTGGGGATGTTGATAGACACCAGGAGTTCCTCCCTTTTCCTTCTGGAAGAGAAGATCCTGAAGACCAAACAAATGGTGAAGATCACTATTGACAATACCTCTACATCTCTGCTCACCTTAGCCAAGGTGATGGGCCTCCTAATTTCCAACTTAGATGCGGTTCAGTGGGGCCGACTTCACACAAGGTCACTGCAGTCCTTCCTCCATCCGTATCAATTACAGATTATGGAGAAACAGGACACCCTGCTCGAAGTTCTGATGTCAGTGAGATAGGCACTACGTTGGTGGACGTGGGAGGCCAATCTCCGCCCGGGAAGAAGTTCTTTCACAATAGTGCACTCCAACTGTTTACGGATGTGAGTCTCCAAGTCTGGGGAGCAACCTTGAATGAGATTCCAACACAGGGCCTCTGGTCTCACAGGGAATCCCTGTTACCTATCAATGTTTTGGAACTCAGGGCAATCCACCTAGCTCTCCTTCACTACAGCAACAAAGAAACATCACATATTAGTGAGGACGGACGACATGTCAGTCAAAGCTTACATCAACAACCAAGGAGGATCCAGATCATCCTCCCTTCACAAAGAAGTGCTGATGTTGCTATTCTGGGCAGAGAAGAATCTAGCCTCCATCAGAGCTGAACACATCAGAGGGATGGACAATACCAAAGGAGACTGGCTCAGCAGACAGACAATTCACCTCGGAGGGTGGATGTTGAACAGGAAAATTTTCCATTGGATA